GCCCCCCCACCATGAAAGCTAGTGTTATAATTCAGTCCGAGTCCAAAGCCAGCAGCACAGATGTCTAAGGCCAGGAGTTGATGGATGTCTCAGCTCAGGCAGAGAGGGGAAATTTACCCTTCCTCCAATATTTTGTCTCTCTGGGCCCTCTATGGATTGGATGGTATCCACCTGCATTAGAGAGGGCCACCTACCTGCTTTATTCAGCCTAGTGGTTCAAATGCTAGTCTCTTCCAGGAACAGCCTCATAAGCACACCCAGAAAAAATTGTTTAGTCTAATCAGGTTGACACATGAAACTAACCATTTTAAGCACAGACAAGCCAGAGGAGGGAGGAAAATAGGTCCTGTGGGCAAAGGAGGAAGAGCCAGTGCTTACTCTCAGACAGAGTCTTCCTCACTATCCCCGAGGACCCTGATTGTTTTATTATTTATCAGGGTTGCGGATGCTGAGTTCCCTGTGCTTAATGTCTCAGAAATGCACTTTTAATTTGGCTCAAAAGATTCTGCTATACACAAGTGGTATCAGATTTACTTTATTAGAAGGAGCTTGTACCTGTTTCCTGCTCTTGAAAAATCCAATTTGTTGCTCTGCTGAGAGAAAGCATGTCAGGTGCATATGTGGATAAGGCAGTCATAAACAAGTCTCCATTCAGCTCACACGATCTAACCCTGTTAGAAACGATCAGTTAGGGTCTTTCCAGGGGGGATTGAAGGTGATTCTGAGAGAACAAAGAAACAAAAGTCATGCTATGTCATAAAAATGGAAATTAGTTGAAACTCTCAGCTCCATTGGTTGAGCCAATGATCATCAAGTTCATGTTCTGGACATCTGTTGGCTGAGACGGATCTATAGTTATGTTTGAGTAAACAAAATAAGCCCCAAATAGGTTTCTAAGGTCATCCTCAAAACTGAAAACATGTATCTTGATCTCTCTGTGGGCAGATTTAGGGACATCCTACTTGGGGTTTTTGTGAGGGTTGTGATTTCCTCATTTTTACAAGAACTATAAAATTACAGTATTTTCCCATTATATTTTCCCTTTTGAGCTTGGCAAGCAAACTCTACTGATCCAGTGCCAATATGATACTTAAGGCCAAATGTCTGCATTTTAGAAAATTTAATTAGAAAGAAATGAAGAAATTATAAAAAGCTTGCTACCAATAGAAATGTTTTCATTAAATATATTTTCATCCAATTATGAACCCAAGCAGGTCTTTTTTCCTTTTATTTTCCTGAACCATTTTGCTGCTGTGTTTACAGCCTGGTACTGTGTCACTGTGCTAGGGAGTCTGGGAAGCAGACGTGACCAGACACAAAGGTGATAAAGGCTTGTCTCATTTTAATGTTCAACCAGAGTGGAATGCAAGCAGCAAGCAGTGCATGACAAAAGTAAATAGGTTCTTTAAAATCCTTCTTTTAATAATCTTAGATGGTATTGGCAGCTCAGGTAAAGCTTTTCTATGAATACAGGATTTTTAGCTCAGCAAAATCCCCTTAAAAGCCAGATAAGAGGTAATGTAACTTTGTCCCTTCAATATAAATGGAATTTCTTCTTTTTCCATACTGGCTTTTAAACACACAGACATATACACACCTGTATTTTTTTTCTGATGATGATGACTTCTTATTCTTATATTGTTTAATTATATACTCTCATAGCAAATGTTTTTGAATACCTATTATTATGGGACACTAATTTGGGTACTGCAAGCTTAGAGGTCAACAAAGTACAAAATACGTCCTCTGGGAGATCATGAGTTGCCTGGAGGAGCCGTCGCAGAGACAAATAACAATCCAGGTCAACACAGCAAAATGCTCCAATACTGGTGTGAATACATTACTTGTTGGAGCACCAGCAAGGGAACAAGTAGTTCTGACCTTGGAATCAAAGAGTATGTCCAAAAAAACATGCATAGGACTAGATTGTGAAAGATCAAAGGGAAGGGACTTGTCAGATATGATAGAGATTCATTCCTCGGCAGAGAGAACAAAATATTCAAATATATGGAGACCTATGATGAGAAAGTCCATTGAAATTTGTTTCCATTTTGTTAATTTCAAGATGACACAGTACCTTCAAGAAGAGTAGCACTGCCCTGGACAGTGTTTCTAAGTGGTTAGAGCATCGGCCACACACTGAAGGGTCAAGGGTTTGATTCCCAGTCAAGAGCACTTACCTGGGTTGCAGGTTAGATCCCTGGCCCAGTTGGAGCTCATGCAGGAGGCAACCAATCAGTGTGTCTCTCACATCAATGTTTCTCCCTCTCTCTCTCTCCCCCTCCCTTCCTCTTTTCCACTCTCTCTAAAAAGCAATGTAAAAAATATTCTCAGGTAAGGATTAAAAAAAAAAAGAGTAGCGCTAGCTCTTTAAACTTTCTTAACTTCAAGTCAGTAGAGCTTTCAGACGAGCATTGAGATGTGTACTGAGGTTGACCCATGTTTGAATTTTGATCCAGCCTTGGGTTAGAGCTTTCGTGTTCTAATATCTGAAATAGTGAGAATAATACTCCATTAAAGGACTCATTTTGTGTTGACTAAAAAATACAGCTCATAGACATTACAGGGCACCTGAGAGACTCTTGCAAAATGACTTATTTATGAGTGAAGTTGATTAGCACAGGTTTTGGAATCAGATAACCTTGGGCATCACGCTCTCTTGCACTGATTAGCTGAGTGAGTCTGAACAAGTTAACTAACTGCTCTGAATGTCCGTGTTTTTCTCTGTAAAATGAACACAACAGGGCTGAGTAGCACTGTTGGGAAGACTGCAAATACAGCACTAAACAGAAGGTAAGCACACTGGCTGGCCCAGAGCAGCTGCTCGGAAAATGAGTGACTAGGAGAAAGATGTAGAGAAATCATTCTACTTATCGTAACACCTGATGTAGGGAATGAGGGCAGACCTGTATTTACATGAGAAATCACACATCCCCCCTTTTCAGGAACCCACTCCATCCTGCCTCCTTTCTGAAATAATGTCTTGCGGCCCCCAGCACTTCTGAGGTGGCACTGGCATCTGCCACTCCATTCTGCAGCCTGTGGGGAAGACGGTGGCCAGCGGTGTGCTAAGAGCCAAGCGTAGGGCAGAGACAGAGGAAAAGGGTATATAGGGCATTCTTGGTTTTGCCCTTCTAGAACCTTCTCCCCTCCTCACCTTCAACAGAACAGGCTCGCGACACAAGAGCACACTGGTTCTGGCGTAAGAGGTCCCTGACCCCCGCACCTGAGGCAGACTGGAGAGGGCGTGAGGACCTCCTCTCCTGTGTCCCCCGTGGAGCAGGTTTCTTTGTCTCCTGCAGCCGCGCTCAAGCTGAGCTTGTGAGCAGCAGCACAGGGCGCTGTGTGACCTGGGGCTGGGGCTGGAAGGGGTTTACTGTGGAGCGTATTCAGGCCTCGTTGCAGTCTCTTCGCCCTGTAACATGTTGCTGGCAGTCGGGGGCTTGCAGCGGCTCTGTCCAAGTGGAAGCTCTCCCTGCTCTGCTCTCCCTCCCCCTGCCTCAGACCCACGGCCACCTGGCACATGCTGCGTGTTCTCTGGGCAGCGACTGCCAGCCGCCAAACAAAGGCTGGGCACACACGCGGGCCAGGACAGCCGCGGTGGCTGTCAATTCATCACATCACTGGCCAGTCGGGCAGGCTTTCAGATCAAACGATTCCTTTGACTGAATCAGCCGTTCGAACCGTCGATCCTGTCATGTGTAGACACAAAAAAGAACAGTGGTAATTCACAAGACTCTTTTCAGTGACCCACATTACCGGAAGGCAGTTCTCCAAAACTTTGTTATTTAAAAAATTCAGGGTCAATCATTATTGACAAATCCATTCCAGTTACTTTAGAATTTGCCAAGGAAAGAGCAGAAGACAAGTAAAAAATCTTTGGTTTAGGAAAAAATCATATCTCCCTAAAAATTACAAGGATTTTTAGAAAGCTTTGTAATGCTGTTCTAGATATAACAGGCATATTTCAGGAGGTAATTTCTCTGTGTGTCTAAATTATAATAAAAACCATTTGAAAAGAAAAGGGAACAAACTTACAAAAAGTAGCTAATAGGATTTTTCAAAGTGGTAGCCATACATATTTTTGCCATTTCTTTTTTTTTCCCCCCCAAGGTGATACTTTATATAGTACAGCTTGCTTTTCATAAAGATAAACAATAGGGTATCAGAGATTCAGTGTCTTAATTCCTTTGCTTTTCTAAATTTACATTTTACTGTTGAAAGATAAATATAGTATTTTTTTTGGAGCTTTAGATGGACACACAATTGTTGCTATTTTTCTAAGAATAATTTTTTGGCAAACATGGTAGGTCTCACTAAGTTTAGCCTAAAACAGTGTATTTGCTGTTACAATAAGACAGTGCTTCCCCAAGCTGGCACATTTTTTCTCTCCATGTGCAGTAAGGTTAAACAGCAGAGGCCACTGAACTATGTAAGAATATGGAAGTTAAATGCTATAGTCTCAGGTTTTTGAAAGGCACAGTGTATGGATTTGATTTGTGACCAGCATTCATAAGACTAAACCACAGACAGGTAAGTCAACATAGTCATGCCCTTGTCATGGCCCAGGGGATCCAAATTTTAAAGAAAACAGCCAAATGCCGTAGATGGCAGCAGCTTTAGACAGAAGTCACATTAACTCTCCAGCTGTGGTCAGATCAATTCAATTTTGCTGATTACCCTCTGTTGAGTAGTAGAGTTTCAAAATAGATAAAGAAGGGCCCTACCTTCAGTGACCTTGTCTGGCTTATGCAAAGAAAGCAAAATAATCCTACAAGATAATAGATAAAAATGCCAAATCAATGGGTTCTTTGACCCGTCTCTCTCCGCCCTTTTTCCCTTTCTCCTACTCCCATTTCCCCTAACCAGATACCAAATTATTGTCTCTCCTAGAATTTTATATATTCCAAATTGCAATTATCCAAGTTGAAGTTGTCAAAACCCTTCTTCCACAATATGTGAACAGCCTATTGTTTCACTTCTTGGCCTTCAGTTTACCAGAATATCTATGTCCATGTCTATATCTTATCTATATCTGTACCTGTATCTGTATCTGTATCTATATCTATAGCATGACCTGTAGCTGTATCATTTATTTATCCTTCAATATATCCATATTTTGTAGAGAAGAACATTGTATATGAACTTCCATAATACATTTCCTAAGCTGACTTTTCTACTTAATTTTTTATAATTCGTGGCTAAAAATATTCTAACAATCTTTTCTCCAAACTGATTTTTCTACCTTATATATTATAGTTCTTTATCTTGCACTCAGTCTCTATTCATACCAGTTTCTCATATATAGGAAATAGTTTTTCATCTTCCTGTTATTGATCATGCAATTTCCTAAGCTAAGTGTTTTCTCCATTTCATTCCTGTTTGCAAATTCTATGCATTCTTTCAGATTTGACTCAACTATGACTTATGCCATGAAGCTTTTCCTGATTTTCTCTACGCAACCCAACCTTCAACTATTATAACATTTTCCACATGGTGTTTTGGGTTATTACTTTATAATTGTATTTTTATTCAATGTTTATTGAGAATTTATTATGTGTCCAGTATTGAAGTAAGAGGTGGGAAAATCATATTGTCTCTACCCTCAAGAGGTTCACAATCTAGTGGTGAGACAAACATGAGAACAAATATGACACTATGTTGAAAAGGCTCTGGAAATATAGAACAACAAATGCTATTATATAAATAAGTGGATGTATTATTATCTAGGGCATTATGAAATGTATCACAGAAGGAAAAATGCTTGGGCTGAGAATGAAGGTTGCGGAAGGGTTCACAGGGAACCAGATAGGGTATACAGTGAGGTGCAACAGGGCATTCCAGGCAGATGAATACATGTAAAGGCCTGTGTTTAATCACATATTTGAGGACAACTTCATAATTCAGAATGCCTGGAACTTAAGTTGCACAGAGGGGAGTGGTAAGAAGTAAAACAGGA